TTTTTTTTTTTTTTTTTCAGATCTAGCGAGCTTGTTCTCATTTTTCAGATTCGGTAAGCAACAAGGATCTCCTATGTTTTAGCTAGCAAAATGTAAAGTTCGGGTAAATTTGAATTTATATGAAAAAATGCAAAACGGTAATTAGTCACTACGATACAGTTGAAAACCCAAATTTCTCTGGAACTCAAATGATGAAACAGACCTCATTGTTGGATTCGTTTCATGAAATATAATTAACTAGTCAATTTTTGTTGAATTTTAAGACAATCGAATTTTTTACGTTTTACGAGACGATTGAGTGTTGTGTGACCTACAAACAAGATGTGAAATTAAATTTCAAAAATTAAAAAAACAATTAAATCTAGTTCAAATAAAAAATATTTTGAACTTAAAGTAAGACGAGATTTAATTGTTTCAGGACGAAACAAGACCCAAGAATGGAGGACGTATGACACAATGAGGGCCAAGCATCTAAGGATTATAAATAGGACAAAAAAATTAGATTTCTCCCCCATCCCCACCAAATTTTCAAAATTAGAGAGGAAGAGAGGAAAAAAAAGAGGATTTTTCAACTTCTCTTTACGATCTACGGCTCTACGTTGGTTGAAATTCTTTGGGTCAAGAATCAAAGTTCATCTACACTTCGAGGGGTATGCCTACGTACCAAAAATCAAAAGTTTTGACGAAGAACAAAAAATAGGATTTTGAGGAAGCAAGGATTAGAGTTTGTTTCGTGTTTTGAGAGTTTTCTACCATTGTTTTACGTTTCAAGAGGTAAAGTTCATTTCCTAGTTAGGTTTATTTTCAACCTAGGGTTCCATATGATATGGGTAGGATGACTTGAGATGAATTATCTTGTTTCATATACTCTTGTTGTTAATAGATTATGAGAAATGTATTGCTTAAGCATGTTATGTGTTTACATTTATGCCTTGAAGGTATTTAATGAAATGCCTATGTGGATTAAGTGTGTTATTTGCATTGATTGTGTTATAATATGTTTGGGAGTTGGTGTTGGTATATGCATATGATATATTAGTATTTTGAGGTTGTTTATGGTAGTTATATGCTTATGATGTAATTTACCATGAAAAATGTTGTTGGATATTGAATTATTTATAATGTGCTCATGACATATTGAACATGGTTAAGAATTGCAATTATACATTTACATTGCATATGCACGGCTAACATCACATTCGTGAGCATTTGACATGAGTGTAGATATGTATTCATGCTTTTGAATCAAATACCATTCTTGGTGATTGAGGCATGAACTCGGCAAGGTTAGAGTCCAGCTAAGTTGCATGGTTGCATGAAAAAAAAAACTTGTATCAGGTATAGCAAGAAGGGCTAGATACTCCCTCAGGTGCAAGACCCGACTACTAGTTTATACACTTCTGGAAGTCCAAAAAAGTGTTATGATGTATGGAACTGGCAGTGATATTTCAAAATCCGAATACCCAACAAAGACACATGATTTGTTTTAAAAAGATTATTGGATGTGTAGCATCAATGATAGGGGCTTGAAATTCCCAAATTTATATGCATGATATTGCATGTGTTGAAGAAGCCGGTAAATGCTCGGGGTTGAGTTGCATGTGTGAGTCTCATCTCATATCATGACATGACATTGATGATTTCATTGTTGAATTGCATATTCTTCAATGGAGTGATTGTTGCTTGTAAATTGCTTGTAAACATTTCATATGCATCTAGGTTGGAGAATAGCCTCTTAGGAGATATTCTATTAAGCGTGACTCATCCTTTATGGGGATAATATTTTAGGTGCGGGACATGCGCCGGTAGATGGCTCTCATTCGGGCCTTCATTGATGAAGAACAACCGAAATGTGGCTTTTAAACTATGCTTTTGTAAAATTAAGATGTAAATTAGTTTTTGGACATGTAATCTATGTAAAAGATTGTAATTGAACTCATATAGACTATGTTTAATGTAAAATTGTATTGTTATATGAGTATAGATAAAATGACCTAGTGTGGTCAATGTTGTATGATTCCAAAGGTTGCGTTTTGGGTAGAGCTCTCCGTACAAAGGAGACTTTACTCCAATTTTTTTAAGTTATGGATCCCGACAAATGAGATATAATGACATGGTATAAATCTCCCTTGGTGTTTGGAAAGATAAGGAACGAGGCGTTCATCGTATAAATGTCTACTAGTGGGCGGCACATACCCTACTAGTGAGAGAAGGAGAGAAATCTCAATGTTTCAACTTTGATCCCTACCTTGGGATGCTAAATTAATGCTCTATTTTCTATTTGACTTGTGTGTAGATGACAAATAGAGTAAGAGGAAACTGGTGTTGAGGTGCTGGGAACAACAACCAACCACCACTGACCTTTGACCAACAAACCTTTATGCAGGCTATTGGCATGATGGCGACTACCTTTGCATAG